TCTCACATTGCTAATTAGCAGGGAAATGCAAATTAAAACCACAATGAGATATCGCCTCACACTAGGTAGGATGGCCAACATCCAAAAGACAAGGAACAACAAATGCTGGCGAGGATGCAGAGAAAGGGGAACCTTCCTACACTGCTGGTGGGAATGTAAACTAGTTCAACCCTTGTGGAAAGCAATATGGAAGTTCCTCAAAAAACTAAAAATAGAAATAATATCTGACCCAGGAATTCCACTTCTAGTAATTTACCCAAAGAAAACAACTTCTCAGATTCAAAAAGACATATGCTCCCCTCAAAGCACTATTTACATTAGCCAAGATATGGAAGCAACCTAAATGTCCATCAGTAGACGAATGGATAAAGAAGATGTGGTACATATACACAATGGAATATTATTCAGCCATAAGAAGGAAACAAATCCTACCATTTGCAACAACATGGATGTAGCTGGAGGACATTATGCTCAGTGAAATAAGCCAGGCAGATAAAGACAAATGCCAAATTATGTCCCTCATTTGTGGAGTATAACAGTGAAGCAAAACTGAAGGAACAAAATGGCAGCAGACTCAGAGACTCCAAGAAGGAAGTAGTGGTTTTCAAAGGGGAGGGGTGTGGGAGGGCGGGTGGTGAGGGAGGGAGAAGGCGATTGAGCAGTATAGTGTTTAGTACACAGGTGTGGGGGATCACGGGGAGAACAGTGTAGCACACAGAAGGTACATAGTGAATTTGTGGCATCTTGCTGCACTGATGGACAGTGACTGCATTGGGGTATGGGTGGGGACTTGATAATATCAGTAAATGTAGTAACTACATTGTTTTTTCATGTGAAACCTTCATAAGAGTGTATATCAATCATACCTTAATAAAAAAAAAGATATGGAAGCAACCTAAGTGTCCATCAGTAGATGAATGGATAAAGAATATGTGGTACATATACACAATGGAATATTATTCGGCCATAAGAAGAAAACAAATCCTACCATTTGCAACAACGTGGATGGAGCTAGAGGGTATTATGTTCAGTGAAATAAGCCAGGTGGAGAAAGACAAGTTCCAAATGATTTCACTCATTTGTGGAGTATAACAAAGCAAAACTGAAGGAACAAAACAGCAGAAGACTCAAAGACTCCAAGAATGGACTAGTGGTTACCAAAGGGAAGGGGTAGGGGAGGGTTGTTAGGGAGGGAGAAGTGGATTATGGGGCAGTATGATTAGCACATAATGTAGGAGGGCCACAGGGAAGGCAGTATAGCGTAGAGAAGACCAGTAGTGGCTCTATAGCATCTTACTATACTGTTGGACTGTGACTACAATGGGGTGTGTGTGTGGGACCTGATAATGTAGGTAAATTTAATAACCACAATGTTGCTCATGTGGAACCTTCATAAGATTGTATATCAATGATACCTTAATAAAAAAAGATTTCAAGACACCCAAAGTAGGACAAATGCCAAGAAATCTTCAGGTAGACATATCACAATCAAACTACTGAAAGATAAAGACAGGAAATCTTGAAAGCAGCATGAGAAAAATGACTCCTCATGTACAATGGAATAGTTCAATTAATGACTCAACTTCTCGTCTGAAGCAATAAAGGCTGGAGGACAGTGGAATTACATATTCAAAAGAGTGAAAAAGAACAAAACTGTTTACCAGTAACTCCATGTCCATTAAAACTATCCTTCAAATATTATGCTGATTAATTAGAAGAAGGTAGTAACAAAAGGCCACATATTATACAATTCCATTTATATGAAACGTTCAGAAAAGGCAGATTCATCGAAACAGGTGATAAAAATATTGCTCAATTCTGTATTGATGGTTGTATGACTCTGTGACTATATTAAAAACCACTTAACTGTACATTATTTTAAAAGGGTGAATTTTATGGTATATGAATTATGTATCAATAAAGCTGTTACTAAAACAACCACAGCTATATTTTAAGAATGAAGGTAAAATAAAGACATTCCCAGATAGAGACCAAGAGAATTCACTGATAGCAGGTCTGCCTTGCAAGAAATACTAAAGGAAGCCCTTCAAGCTGAAAAGGAAGTGATACCATATGGTAATCTGAATCCAGAGGAAGAAAAAGACAATACCAGAAACAGTAAATATGTGGGTTAATATAGAAGATGTTAATTTGTTTTTCTAATTTCTTCTCTTAACTTCTTTAAGATATATATCGTATAAAGCAGTCATTATGACACTGTATAATTAGGTTTATATGTAGATGTGTTATATATATATGTAACATATAACATAAATATGACAATAACAGCACACAGGAGGGGAAGGAATGGAGCTATATTAGAGGAATTATTTTTTGCCAGAATTAAGTTAATATTAATTTGAAGTAGACTGTGATGAGTTAAGGTGCATCTGTAGTCCCTAGAGAACCATTAAGAAAATAATTCAAGAAGAAAAAAAAAATCAGCAGAGAAATTTATATGGTCCACTAAAAATTCTTAACATATAAGAAGCCATTAAAGGAGGAAGAAAAGAATGAAAAAAGAGATAAATAGCAAAATGGAGAATGTAAGCCATATCAAAAATTAAATGTGAATAGTGTAAACAGCCCACTCAAACGGCAGAGGCTGTCAGGATAAAAAAGCATACAACTGAATTCTATTTAGCACTAAAAAGGAATGAAACGCTAATATGAAATGACATATTATAACTTGGCTGAAACTCAAAAACATGCTGAGTGACAAAAGCCAAATACAAGACTGCATATTGTATGACTCCATTTATATGAAATGTTCTAGAAAGGCAAATTTAGAAAGAGAGTGGTTGCCTAGGACAGGAGGTGGGAGTAGGGATTTAATGTAAAGGAACATAAAGGAACTAACTGGAATGATGGAAATATTCTAAAACTGGATTGTGGTTATACAACTCTGTATTTTTACTAAAAAAATCATTGAATTGTCCAGTTACAATTGGTGAATTTTATGGTACATAAATCAAAACCCAATGAAGCACTTGGAGGAAAAAAAAAAACCCAAAGTGAGTTAACTTCTTGTTAAATCTATTTACCTAGACTTCATATAAATATTGGAGAAATGAGGAGTAGGGAAATGAACTGGGTCATAAGTGACACTATACATTTATACACACATAACCAGTTCACTTTTTAGAGCACAACTGCAGTGTTTTCTGCTTCAAGGTCCAGGGCATGTCTTCCCTGTCACTTGAGGACAAAGGTTACTTCCTCTTCGTGCACCTCCAATTCTTAGACAGTCCTCTTCACTGCACCCAGCACATTATAGTGAAATAGTTTCTGCTTCTTGGACTAGATTACAAGAAATGGTGTCTGCTTCTTGGACTAGATTACAAAATTCTTCAGAGCAAGGACAGTATCTTTCTCATTTCTGTAGCTCTGATGCCCAGCCTGGGACTAGAGCAGGCTTCAGGGAATGTTTGTCAAGTTAATGAAAGGGAAATTGGGTGTGAAGAGGCAAATTTGGATCAAACTCGTCTGAAAGTATAAGGGACACAGGGGGCCCATGTTAACTCAGGAGTCAGATGAATTTTTAAATTAAAAAAGTATGCCTTCTGATATATAGGTCTGTGCACTACCTGAAAATTTAATTTATCTTCCTTGAATGTGGTCAAAAGTTCCATTTTATGGCAGGGCAATGAGTTCACAAGCAATGTAACAAACTTTCCAAGATTAGTGTGCTCACCAAGCAAACAAACCATTAGAGAAACCTGATTTCCCTGCAGATGGCCTGACAGGATTAGGACAGAAGCCCAGACAGTTCGTGTACTTCTGGGTGAGTTTAGCAGCTAGCTCGGCTAAGAACTGTGAAGGGGATCACAAAACCAGGTCAGGCCAGCTCTTTCCATCCTTCTCTATCTCCGTCTTATTAGCCAGCGCGAGGTCAAATGCCGAGCAGGTTGGAAAACTTCAGCCCAGAAGTGCCTTCCCCTCCTCCCCCAGGTGGCTTTGTGTATCCTATACTTCACAACTTGGGGGCGGGGCCGGTCAAGCATGTAATACAAAGAAGCTGGAGTCAAAACACACGCTGGCCAGTTTCTCAGGATCCTGGCTCATCTCAAAAAAGGGATCCATCTAGTAAAGACCAGGCACCTATAAATGGGTAAAACAGGGCTCAATTACCAAGCCCGGGGCAACACGGGGTAAGGAGTAGGCCTTCTATAGCTGCAAGTCCGGGGAGAGGAAATCCTGGGGCAAAATACCTCTAAAAACTGAAATCAGTCAAAGGGAGAAATAAAGTTTAAAACCCGTTTATTGCTTACAAACTGCAGTCCAACACCGTCTCTCTCCCCCCGCTCCGGAAGAAGCAAGCAAGCAAGCAAGCAACCCCCCCCCCCCATTAACCTCTCAGGTTCAGAAACGCCCTCGGTAGCCCAGGTAATTACCCATTGACATGGAGATAAACTTCTTTCCATCCCCTGAGGATATGCAAATGCACCAAAGCCAGGCGAGATATTCTGGAAATACTACAATTTTACCCACAAGAGTCCTCGTAGGTTAAGTGTGGGGCATGAGAGAAGGGAGGCAAGAGACTTTAGAGGTGGGGGAACCCGGAGGCTGGGATAATACAGAGTCTGGGAGAAATGGTGAGGGGGTTATGAGTCCGACTGGTAAGGTTCTGGGAACCTCCCAAGAAGGCGAGGATTACAGTCCTCTAGTTTTGGAAAAGCTGCACTCTGCTGAGTGAGGAAGGCGGGAGGAAAAAAACTCTGCAGCCTGAGCGTGAGAAAGCCCTACATCTTTTGCGCTCGGGACCCTGATTCTTGGAGGGCCGGGGCTTTAATTTTCTGGATAGCTAGCTAGCTCACGTTGCCTGGGCCTTAACAGGGTGCATGAGCTAGTAAGTCCCTGGGAGCTTGAGGCAAGGGGGCGGGACGGGCGCCAGGGGGTGTGACCGTGGGTCCGGGGGCGGGTCTGCGTTCCTGCCCCGCTCTTCTGTCACTCCCAGCGAAACCACGGTTTACTGCTTTTTGAGGCCCCCCCAGACTCACCTTCCTCCCTCCCCACTGGTTGGGCCCCGGACACCGCTTCCCACAGGCGGCGCGCCCTCTCGCGGTCGAAGCGCAGCCCGTCCGGTTCCCGGCCCTTCCGCTCCTCAGAGCAGTTGTACGGCCGTGTCCCTCCGCTGTCCGCGGCTTCCACGGTGCCCAATGCGGGATACTCCATCCTCCCCGCAAGCCCTAACCCGCCGAGAGTCGTTTGTGAACCTTGGTCTCGCGAGATGTGGGTGGTAGAGTGACTTTTCCCGGCCAACAACTCTCGCGAGGTTTGGGCGCCCTCAGACGGCGCTGCGGTGTCGTCTCTGCATCTCCACTTGCCTAGCTGCTGCCAGGACTTTGAAGATTGTGCTGTGGATCACAGAGGCGATCTCGGGTTCCACGTCATACCTCTCTCTCCGGTCCGGGCTCGTGCCGTCCTTGGCTCAGGGTTCTCACCTTGCTCACGGTCAGCCTTTAACACTTCTCATTTCTTTCTGATGAAGGCCCTGTTATGAGGGATTATTTTCACCATATTACTGGTAGGGAAAGTGAGGCCCAGAACCCAGAAATGGTTTACTTTAAGAGTTTACTACTAGTAAGATTGAGCCAGGAGTCCATCTCCATTATTCAGTTACTGCTTATAATAAATACCATTTGATTTCCAAGTGCCATTCCCTAGCCCAGACCTCCCCGTAATTTATTCTGCAATGTAACTGTCAAGCCTGACGTGTTATCTTCGAAGTCCACATCTGCCCCTTCAGTCTTTTGGAGCCACAGTTTGTTGCCAAGGTTATTGTAGTAGCATCCTCAATGATCCCTTTCCCTTCTCCTTCAGGTATTGTCAGCACAGCAGTCCAGCCATCCTTTTATAACAAGCTGTAACATGCTACCCCGATGTTCATATTCTCCAACACCTTCCCACCTCACTCTGTAAAAAGCCAAAGCCTTTAGTTTAACCAATAGGGCCCTATACAATCTGACTTCCCTTAACACCCCTACCCTCATCTCCTATTGTGTTCACCTCCAACCCCTTCATTCCTGCCCCATTTACCCTGGCCTCCTCACATTTCCCCCATATATCCTCATGGCTCAGTCTCATTTCCTTATTGGCTACCCTATCTAAAATTTTACCCATCCACACACACTTCATATCCTCCTTTCCTGCTTAATTTTTTTCCCTCAATACTTACCGTTATCAGACATAGTATGTATTTACTTTTTCTTTCTTTCTTTTTTTTTTTTTTTT